TTTAGGTGAAAGTTTATAGCATAAGTTAGTTTCTAGATCATGGGCTTTTCTTTCATTTTAATAGATATTAAATTATTTTTGTTTTACTTTTTTATTTTGAAATAAATTCAAATTACAGAAAAGTTGCAAAAACAATATAAGAAACTCTTTCTTGTATTCCCTTTACTCAGGGTCACCAATTACTAACATTTTTCTTTATTTTTCCTCTCTTTATGTGTATGTGTATATGTGTGTATACATATATTCTCTCTTTATATACATATATATTCTCTCACTATATATGTATATACGCATACATGTACACACATTTTGTCTCTCGAACCACTGGAAAAGTAAATTACAGAAATCATGTCCCTTCACCACTCAACTTTGAGTGTGTATTTCCTAAGAACAAGGGCCTTCTCTGACATAACCACGGTACAAGTATCAAAATCAAGAAATGTAATAGTGATGCAGTACCATATTCACTTTATTCCAAACGTCTCATGATATTCTTCACTGTACTTTTTTTTTTTCCACTCCAGGATTCAGTCCAGGATCCTTCCTCATAATCAGTTGTCATGGGTCTGTACTTGCCTCAATCTGGGACAGTTTCTTAACTTTCTCTGTCTTCCGTGATATTGGCATTTTTGAAGAATATGGGCAGTTATTTTGTAGCATATCCCTCGATTGATATTATAATGTTTCATATTATGGTGCAATTCTTTGTTTTTCCTTGTAGCTTTTAGGAGAGTATGAGTCCCTTGGAAAAGAACACGAAAGAGTAAAGGTAACAGTTGACCGTTCATGTGTTGAGTTTCATGTTGGGGCAAACGCGTTGGGATTGGAAAGGAAGAGATCTGACCCTTTCCCTTCCTCCTACATCCCCGTTTAGCTATTTGAACTAGAACATTCACTCAATTACTCTGTGTCAGTATCCTTATTTTAAAATACCTGCCCTATTTAACTCACAAATGTGTTGGATTCATTAATTCATTTAACAAATATTTATTGAATGGCTGCTGCATTTTGAGATGAGTTAATTGAGATGAAATTGTTTGGAAGTGTATAAGGTACCATACACATGCAAATAACTATTTAATCCTGTTTAAATAGGAGGTTTGATTTTCAAAGCATTATCTTTTTGTGGGGTTGTTTGAGTTTATTCATTATGTTTGAACTCTTAATCAAAGCTCTGTATGGGGACTGCATATTTGAATTCGGTGAAACCCCATCATAACCTGTAAGTGAGGCAAGTAATTATATTTCATAAAATGCGGGGTTGTGGTTATTCACGGTTAGTGACAAGGCCTCCACAGCTAGGCAGCCAAGCGTTTAGGGGTTTCAGGAGCCAATTGCATTATATGTGAGATCTTATTATCACAGTTTTTTTTTTTTTTCCTCCATTCTGCTGAGGTTTTAGTCAAGTTTGTGGTTAATATGTCCGTTTTTACATTGGATTGTTTCTACTCAAGAAAGCATAATGGGATGTACCTATTACACAGGGGACTGAAACACAGCTATTTGTATAGCCCTGCATCTGGCTCTCTCGTTTCTTCCTCTGAATGGTCGGTATTGGCTCTGTGGTTGATGCCGCGCTTGCTGAGTATCTGCACAGTTTTCTGTGTAGCTGTCTGGTGCGGCCTTAGATGAGTTCTATATTATGCATTTTAAAATAAAAGAAATAACATCTGAATATTTATTTTCAGTTACCTGAATTGTTTCTTTATTTTCACAGGATACATTAAATACAACCGAGAACAAATTGCTTGATGCACATACTCAGATTTCTGATTTGAAAAGGTAAAATGTATTATCTTACTAATAAGCAATACCTCTACATAAGTTTTCTTTCCACACTTAAATATGAGTCTGTCTGGAAAATGATGAAAACAAGTTTCCCTTGAGGATTTTTAAGCAGTTTAAGTACTGATTTTATCCTCATCTTTCCCTGACGTGGAAATTCGTTTGAATTTAGCCAAAGAAGATTTTTAAACAATGAGAACGTATTGGTGGTTGTGCCTCGAGATGTGTACTTCCCCCAAATACTATGTTCTTTCAGCATTGACAGAATCTAAATGACATTAAACCATTGGACTAGAACGCCCTTTCAGAAGCAGTCTAGGCCACTGAGCTATTTTTATGCCCCCAAAAGAAGACAGCATTCAGACCATCTCTGTGGTCATCCACTTTCTTAAAGACCTTGCTTGGAGACTGTGTTAATGATTTGCTCTGCTTAATCGAAATAAACCATTTAGGAACAGAGTCATAAATGGTCTCTGGCAGTGATTAGATATTTCTCAGTGGCTCGAGAGATGTTTCTGTATTTGTATTTGGATGTGACGAACGTCCCCGATCTAGATGGCTCAGTGCACCCAGAGGACTTCCCATGGGGGAACGGGACGCTGCCTCGCTTTCTCACTGCTCCACTCTTTTCTGTGGTACATTGAGTTGTAGTGACAGCCCCCTTATCAGACTGCTATAAAACTTCAACCCCATTAGAGCTATTCTTTCTCAAATTATCTTCCTTACAACAGGGTAGGTAATGATTTGAGTTTAAAAGATAAGATGGGGACATACACAAGGTTTAAGACAACAGAAAAGATTCTGAGATATTCTCAGAACAAGTAATTGGCCACAGTAGTTATTTTTTGTTGGTAAACTTGAAAATAGGCTTTCATGCCAGGAATTAGATGAACCGCCTATAGGTTGAGAGTTGTTTAGGATGTTTTCGCCTTTGCATCTTTTAAAAATTAGGAAATTCTAATAGCTCTACTGTTAGAAGTTAAACCTGCTTCCTCTTCTCTTTTGTGAGAGTAGTGCCTATAATATATTTTATATGCGTGAGTACATACATATTAGAGTTAAACACGTTAAAATCAGTTTATTTGACGGCTTGAATTTATTTAATTTATCCTCTGTTTTGATCTGTAGTCAAATCTATGTAACGTTTTTACTTTGCTGAATTTAGTCCATTTGTTCGTTTTTTCCTCAGCTGTGGTTCTTGAAATGTTCCTTTGTAAAGTTTAATGACTGTCCTTTATTTTCTATTTATTTTTCCTGATTCTGCTCAGCTTTTTAAAGTTTCCTGATGGTACTTTACTATGAAAAAGGTTTATGTACGGGGCAGCTTATTTGTCACCCCTTTTCTAGGAGTGTCTGTTAAGTAAATAATTTGTAGTTGAGTGATACGTAAAATCTGTTTAAATGTGCTTATCTTACTGCTTTTGAATTAGAACAATTTCAAAACTGGAAGCTCAAGTCAAGCAAGTAGAGCATGAAAATATGTTAAGTCTTCGTCACAATTCAAAAACTCACACAAGACCCTCACGTGCCAAGTAAGTTATTATGCTTAATCTCTATAAAGCTAGAAATTGGTGCACCCTTTTTTTGAACTGAGAAGCTATCTGTCTAAATCATAAGAAAGTTTGGGTTAAATGTCATTACAGAACTTAGCTATGTAAAAAATAATAATTGTTGCAAACTGTGAAAGCTGTTATACAGAGACATTTGCCAAAATGAGGAACTAATGAAATCAGATTGGGAGTAAGGAGAGGTGGGATTTACTTCGCTCTTTTACTCTGCTCCACTGTGTGACCTTAGGCCAATCACTTAATTATTTTTGGAGCTCAGTTTTCTTACCTGTAAAACAAGGACATTGGGCTACAACATCTCCAAAGACCTTTTAAACTACCAGAAATTTTATCTGAATGTTAATGGAAAGAGGTATGAAGATGGATATTCATTAAGTTGTGTAGGTTTCTTTAGTTTTTTCAAAATTTTGTAATCTGAGATAATTATCTTGATTGTATATTATTATATATAGTTGTTTTCATATTAGAACCGGCTTTGATATGATTTTGCTATGAAAAGGTATTAATGAGTAGATCATAGCTTTATAACATTATCAGAAGAAGATTATGGTAAATTGTAATTTTTAACATTTCAGAGTTGTAATGGTCAAATGAAAGATTGTGGGGCCTAGAGTTGGGGTCATGGAAGGCCATTTTGTGACATATAAGCAGAAAAGTCAACCCCAGATAGAGATGTTGGAGTAGAATGTGTGGATGGGAGAGGGATGTTCCAGGCAGAGAGATTAGCATTGCTCAGTCCTGAGGTAGGAAAGAATTTAGTGTTTTTGAAGGACCCAGAGAAGGATAGTGTGGGTTGAATATTCACAAGAAAGGGTTAAGTAGCCCAAGATGAGATCATAGAGGTGGACAGATGATGCACACCTTATTATAAGCTGTGGCCAGGAGTCTAAGTCTAGTGGGAAGTCTTTTGGGGGCTTTATATAGTAGAATGATGTGATCTGATTTTTAATGTGCCTGCCACAAGAAGATTGGAGAGGGGAAAGCATAGAAGCAGGGAGACCAATTATGCTATTGCAGTAGTGGAAGGCCGACTGTTAGCTTGGTGGTGGCCATGGACATGGATAAAAGAGAAGGATTTGGGGGAAAATTCGGAGGCAGAATCTACAAAACATAATTATGAATTGGATGGCAATATATAGGGCTGGTTTAAGGCATGTGAGGGCCCTAAACACTGATAATCTGTAGTACCCCCTCCTCTGCTTATTCGAATGGGATATATTCAAATGGGATATATGAATGGGTTATTTATGTACATATATATGTATATGTGTGTGTGTTTTAGCTATCCATGATGTAAGTTCTTTTTAAATGCGACTGTAATATTAGTGATTGAATGCAAAAGTGGCATATGCCATTTTAATGGAATGAGATGAACTGGACTATAAAGTTTTTAGTGGGTCCAGGGTACTAAGATTTTTACTATACACCACATTTTCTACAAAAAGAATATTCCACATACTCTACAACAAAGAAAATGAGTCAGCGAACTTAGTTGTTTCAGCAATCAATTTAAAATTCTATTGATCTCCCACAACGAAAAACTGACTTTCACCAATTTTGTTTACAAAACTTAGGACGTAACTCTGTATGTAAATGCTATACAGTTAAAAAGTAGCTAGAATGAATTCATTGCAGTGGTCGACTTACTCGAGTTCCCTCGCTTTTGCACATCATCTGGGACTGGAGTTCCTGTTGGTTGTTTACCAGGATGTGCACAAGAGCATATCCTTGTGTTTGTATCAGGGCAAAGAGCGTTGCTGACCCTTCTGGCTGGAATTGCTGGATCAGCAGACATGGATGTACAAGACAATTCTCTCAAAAGGGCTCAGAGACGTGTTATCTATTCATATAATCTGTCCTTGCCCAGTAACTACTCAGGTTGGATCCAGTTGCATATTGGAAGAATGTAGCAAGAGTTATACTCGACAGCCCACCCCCACCTCTTGGTTATTAGAAAGAAATAGTATTCTCCCGAGAGACCTGCTGAGATAAGGAGTTTCAGTTACATGGGAGGGAGCCATAGGAGACAGATGTCAGTGAAGGTGTTGAAGTGGTAGGGGCCTCATACTTACACAGCCTTGTACATGGGCACCCTCCTGACCCTGCGTGAACTTTATTTCTAGCTGGCACATTGTCGTATTAGAGCTGGTATCAATTTCATTTAGTGCCCTACCAGTTCCCTTCCACTGCAGCCCTCGCTTTTCCTCATGTCCTGTCTGTTTGGCTTCTATGGGTCTTTGCTTTGGACAACTGGTGCCCCTGTTTTGTTGATGCCCTAAGTATGTGCTTACCTTGCTTATTGAGTAATCTGTCCTGGCAAGATAAGAAAGAGAAATGTCATGAATGAGTCTCTTGAACAACTAGGGGTGCCATATATGGAAGTAGGGAAGAGAGAAGAAGGGTGTACAGTGGGGAGACATCAGAAGCACCATTTTGATTATTTTATTTTGAGATTCATGTGAATTCCAAGTGGGAATCAAGCAGGTAATTATAAATTTGGATTTGGAGCTCAGAAATAGGAACCTAGGCTGGAGTGAGAAATTTTGGAGTCCTCTATTTCTAGATAGTGCTTACAGCTATGGGAGGGGAATAGAGTGTGCCAAGTGAGAAGTAGACAAAGCTGTGAAGAACCCCAACACTCTGATGCTGGATAGAGAAGGGGGAGTTGGCGAAGGCACCTGAGAGAGCTGCTAGGAAACTAGGAGGAAAAGCAGAGCAGTCACCAGTGTTGAATGCTGCTGAGAACTCAGGTAAGATGAAGACTGAAAAGGGTCTACAGGTATTCGAGTGAGGACGAACTGCACTTACTTACGACCGTCTTTTTTGTTCTGTTTCTGTACTTTTATCGTTACTAATATGTACTACATATAATGTAGCAGTGCATAATTTGCTGACATTATCATTCTGAGATGTTCACTCACAGATATTCAGAGATCAGATTTGTAAAGACACTGATAATAAAAGGCAATAATAATGAAAACTTAAAAAAAAAAAGGTATTCTACTTAGGTCAGAACTGACTTATAATGGAGTCTGTAAAAACTGCACGGTCGTGGTGTGTAACCTCCTCTAACTCCACAAGGGGGAAGGAGAATCAAGATCAACAGCCCAAGGCTGATTACTGTGAGGCGAGGGTCAGACATACCTCCTCTCTCCACCATCTTTACCAATTCTAAGACCAGCTGTCCCCCTCCCACGGCACTCGCTACTTCTCTGCTGGGTTTGATAATTCATTTCAATGGCCACACAGAACTCAACAGGCTGTCCTCATGATTACGGGGCTTATTAGGGAAATAACAGGTTACAATTCAGGTTGAGGAACGCTCAGGATACAGGTCTTCCGTCAGGAGAGCCTCTTCCTAGGAGTGGCCAAGCACATCTCTCTCTGACCCCTTGTCCTCTGCCTGCTCAAGCAAATGTTCCAAAGCTCTCTAAGTCCCTGCCAACCGGTGCCCAGAGTCACCCTACTCTGCAAGTAAGTCTTGGCCCAAAGGTGCTCGGCGTTCTCACTCCATGGACTGGGAGTCCCACTGTGCTGTCTCCCTGCCGGTCTCTTCAGCCAACATTTCTCTGCCACTGCTTCTTGCTGTTTTCAGTGCCACAGCTCTCTCTCTCTCCATGTCCTGGCTCCAGGAGCTTCTCAGCGCAGGGATCCTGGGTCCAAAGGACACGCTCCACTCTTGGCTGTTTTTCCTTGGTGGTGGTGGGATCCTCTCTTGGCTCCAGAATTGGCTCTGTTTTAAGCCCAGCGGGATGGCAAAACTGACCAATTCCCTTGGAGGGCCCCAATTACCTTATTTTCATAGTCCCGCCTGATCACTTGGGTGTAGTTACAAGACCATGGCTAGAAAGACCACGCAAAAGCAGTCCGTTGCACCACAGAGCTGTTAGAACAGAGTCATGTAAGTCAGGGACTGCCTATACTGGATTTGCAAGCTAGAGGTTATTGATGATTTTGAGAACAGTTTGGATAGAGTTGATAAAAGTGGAAGCCAGTTTGGAGTGAACTGAAGAATGAACGAAAATGACCTAAATATCTACCAGCTGGAAAATCAGTACATTCTAATATACGTATGCACAATACCATATAGTACATTCTAATATACTTATGCACAATACCATACAGTACACATTCTAATACACTTATGCACAATACCATACAGTACATTCTAATATACTTATGCAAATACCATACAGTGTGACAGCGTGTGAACCAGAGCAGGGGTCGGCAAACTCTGGCCTGCAGGCCAGACCCGGCCCCTTACCTCTTTTTGTAAGGCTCGTGGGCTGAGAATGGGTTTTACATTTTTAAGTGTTTGGGGAAAAAAATCAAAAGGAAGACACATTCAAATTTCAGTGTCCATAAATAAAGTTTTATTGGAACACAACCAAACTTTTCATTTACGTATTATCTATGGCTACTTTCGTGCTATGACAGCAGAGATGCATAGTTGTGACAGAGACTGTGTGGCCCACAAAACCTACAACAGTTACTATCTGACCCTTTACAGAAGATGTTTGCTAACCCCTGAACTAAAGCTGTCAGCATGGATTAATCTCAAGAACATAATAATGGAACAAAAACAACAACAAAAAATACCAGTTAGGGAAGTAATATGATAACTATTTAGATGAAGTTTAACATGTAAAATAATTTTCTGTATCATATGGGTTCATACAAATGTAGTCAAAGTATGAAAACACGCAAGAGAATGCTGAACACAAATTTAGTGTGAAGAGGGAAAAATGAGATTGGAGAGGTGCACGGGGCTTCGGTTGTATCTGTCATGCTTCACTCTTTAAAAATCTAAAGCGTACAAGGCAAAATATGATTTCACAAGCTGGATGGTCGGTACATGAGTATTAGCTGAATGTCCATGCATGCTTGAAATATTTTGTATTTTGTAAGTGAACAGGAACAAGTGACGTTTTAGTATCCAGAAGATAAAAGGACTCCTACAAATCATTGAGAAAAAGACAATAAAAATGGTAAAAGAAACCCAAATGGCCTGTGATAATCAAAAGATGCTTGTTGTCACTAGTAATCAGAGAAAAACGCAAGTTTAAAACAATAGTGGGGTACCATTCACACCAGTCAGACAGGCCAAACCTAAAATGTGATCATTCTAAGCTTTGGCAAAGAGGCAAAGAAATAGGAGCCCTCAAACTACTGGATGGACTGAAAATTGGTACAGCTGATCTGGAGAGTGATCTGGCAACAGTCTAGTAAGGTTGAAAATGTGCACATCAAGAATTCCGCAGTTCCAATTTTAGATACTTACCTCAGGGAAATTCTTAACATGTGTTTGTTGTAGTAGTGTTTAAAGACAATATGTTAGAAACTAAACATACATATAAAGGAGAAAGGATATATAACTTGTGATATATATATACTATGGATAAATGATTAGAATGATAGAGTTGTATGTATTAACATGGATAAATCTCAAGCATAATGTCCAGTAGAAAAAGCAACATTAAAAGGATGTTTACATTCTGCCTTTTATGTAATTTTAAAAATACAACAACTATATATATGTACACATATATATGTATACATGTATATGTATGTATGTAGAGATAGAGAGTTCCTGGGTGGTGCAGTTACTACTCTTGCTGCTAACTGAAATGTTAGAGGCTCAAGTCCACTCAAAGGTGCCTCAGAAGAAAGGCCTGATCTTCAGATTCAGTGTCCTGAAAATCAGCCATTGAAAACCCTGTGGAGCACAGTTTTACTCTGGCGCACATGGGAGTGCCATGAGTTAGAGTCAACTCATGGTGACTGGTTTTCTGTATATGTGTGTGTGTGTATATATATATGTATATAATTTTATGCCTTATAATGAAAAACAAATATGACTTGATGTTAGCATTTGTTAAAACTGAGAATGCGTAAATGGGTGCTTGTTATAGCATTCTTGGTAATTTTCTAAGAATGTTTGAAATATTAATTTTAAAAAAGGGGGAAAAAGGGAAAAGAGTGACTGGGAGTTGAAGTAAAAATAGGTAAGAGGCAAGTCTTAAGACGCTTGAATTGTGAGGGGGCCAGAGCAAAGAAGACAGGAACTCCTGTTTCCTAGTTTGTTTTCTCTTGAAGTGAATTTATCACCAGACAGTGAAGATGGGAGCTGAGAGCTTTGAGCCAAGTGGAGAGGGCATGAGAAGATTGTATTGGAGAACTGGAGTGCGTTGATCAGAGCAAGGTGTTTGGCTAGCCAGCGTTGGGCATCCACAGGAGGTGGTGGTGATAATTCTGTAAGGGGACACCAGTCTGCACAGTAGGTGACTTTGTCCAGCAGAGCTTGGCTGCAGGAGGACGGGCGTGAGGCAGAGGGCACCGTGTTTGGGTAGGCCCAGGTGTCTGCTGCCAGTCAGGCGTGATGGAAGGTGAAAGGGGAAGGGAGTCAGGGTATCTGCAAGTGAGTTATTGTTATCCAAGGTGCCTCGGTGGCACAATGGTTAAGCACTCGGCTGCGAATCTAAAGGCGGCAATTAGAACATACCGTGGCTCCGTAGGAGAAAAGACCTGGCAGTCTGCTTCTGCCAAGGTTACAGCCTAGGAAACTTCATGGAACAGTTCTACTCTGTCCTATTTGGTCATGATGAGTCGGGATCGACTTGACAGCAGTGGGTTTGGTGTTTTTGGTTTGAATTGTTATCCAAGGAGTCCTGGTGACACAGTGGTCAAGCACTTCCCGCTAACTGAAAGATGGGCGGTTAGAATGCACCGGTGGGTCTGCAGGACAGAAGACCTGGCCATCTTCTCACATAAGGATTACAGCCTAGGAAACCCTGTGGGGCAGTTCTAGTCTGTCATATGGAGTCACTGTGAGTTGGAATTGACTCAGTGGCACACAACAATTATTATCCTGAGCTGAGGACTACAGAGTAGCTGACGAGGAAAGTGAAGCGAGAAGGGGGTGATAACTAGAAAATGGCGAGGCCCAGGGTCACAGGCCTGGTGGTCACACTGCTGTCAGTGTGCCTGAGTATGGGAGCCAGAAGGGGAGAGCCGCCTTTGGAGTGTTGGTTTCTGAAAGGCTGTGTTCTCTGGGGGTGACAGACCCAGCCAGTGTCCCCTGAGGAGGAGTAGAGGGCCAGCTTGTTGGAGAAGAGGTCAAGGATGGCTTGTGAGTGTGTATGAGGGCAGGAGCAGGTGTGGAGACCAGGAGGCAGATTCTGAAGTCTGATGATGAAGGTGAGCGACCTTGACGTGTGATGGAGTGAACTTCATTCAGACGAGCAGGGTTTTCATGAGAGCGTGGGGAGCAGTAGTCTCACTGTCCAGTAGAGTAGGGCCAGTAGACATCTCCATGTGGACATTCAAGTTCAAATTAAATTAAGTAAAAATCACAAATCAGTTTTTTGGTCTCACCAGCTCCATTTCATGTGCTCAATACCAACATGTGAGTAGAGGCTCCTGCATTGGACACTGCAGATGGGGGACATTCCCATCTTCGGGGAAAGTTCTGTTGGACAGTGCTGGTCTGGGAGGAAGACGAAGCGCACCCCGGCTTCCCTTCCTCACCTCGAGCTACACCGGGACGTAGAGGGGGTAAAGTGTGGAGTAGGCCAGCTGGGGCATGTTCAGAGCTGTGTGGACATGAGTGTGCCTTAATCCCAAGTGAGATGCAGAATTATCTGTCCAGAAGTGACAGAAACAGAAAATAACAGCTTAGTTGAATCTTGAAACGGTAAAATAGAACTCATATATCTAAAATACAGATTGTTACATGTAGTTTTTAAATAACTGTGTAAATATGTAAAGAATACTCTAAAGCAAGTTGTTTTGTATGTGTGCTCAGTCTAAAATGAAGCCCAAACCTTACCATAACTGAGGATATTTCTCTTCCTAACAGCACCCTAGCAACTTCCGACGTCAGCAGGCGCAAGTGGCTGTTGCCAGGCGCCGAGTACTCCATCTTCACTGGCCAGCCTCTGGACGTCCAGGAGAGTCGAGCGGGCAGCCAGCAGGATACCTGCGCTCCTGGGTAAGACCGCTTTGCAAATGCAAAGAGTGCATTTAAGAACTGGTAGCTTTCCGTAGGGATTTCAGTTGTCTTTAAATGGTTAGGAATGTATAAAGAGCCATCTCTTTGTTTTTTTAATGCCTGAATTTTAGGGGCCGATTTTTATTTCCCTTTGAAAGGCTGACGCTTTTAGGATATTTTGCTTCTGCAGGCTGTGCAGAGCTTCCCCACAGTGTTCTTGGCACTGTGGGGCCCTCAGTTAGGACAAGATTTGATCCTTTTGGCCTCAGGGTAGCCTGAGCACCCCCGCAAGCAACCTCATCCATTTGTTCCAGGGTGCTGGGCAAATAGAACATTTCCGTATGTGCTAGGATGTGGAAACAATTGACAGGCACTGGCCTATTTTAGGCAGATTCCATTTTAATTTATTTGCGTGGCACAGTTGTTGGTTCTCTGTCATGGTTTTCCCATGACAACCCCAGTCAACTCATGTGTCTCACAATTGTTACTTAAGGTACCATTCTCCTCCGGAAAAAGATTCTCCATGTGGAGATTCACCAGCAAGCTTACTGATAAAAAAACAGAGAGGGACTTCAGACACACCAATCATGAAAGCTTTCAAAGAACTTAATGAGGAAAAAATATTTAAAAATTGGGGCACACAGACAGAGAAAGAGGATGCCTCAAATAGTAAGTATTTATTTTTTTCCTGTTAGATAGATAGGTAGATATAAATATAGCTATCTTCCCCAGATTACCTTCTTTAAATTTAAATCCCTCAGGTAATGAAATAAAAAGGTTAATTTGTAATACTGCCGCTTCAGCCCTATCTCATAGGTGATTATGAATCCCCTAGTTAATAATTTATCCCAGTCACGGAATAACATGTACCTTTTATTCAGAGCAGATTAAATATTTTGTTCTGAATATTAAAAAGGCTTATGTGGCATTCTTCAGGATTTTAAAAGTTTTCTCTTAATCACTTTGTCATGCATACACACATCAAAAAGTTATGAAAGGCATTTGGTTCATAAATTGAGATTTAATATTTCCCACTCCTGCTTCCCTTTGTTGGTTAGTGAGCATCTTCAGGCAGGACGAGGAGTATTTACTGCTCTTCCTGCTCACACGTCTAGATCAGCTGTACTTTTATCTCCTGTCACCTTCTACAGTGCTCCCCTTGGTCAGGCCTGAGAACCACGTCATCAGCATCTTCGGTGTTGCATCTCCAAAGCAGTATCTCCTAGTAAATAAATTAGTAACCTGCTTTCTAAAAATAAACTCTCTTGAAAAATCACCTTGAATGCCAGTTGTAAACACCGAACCAGAATGAATTCATTATAAGCCCCCACCTTTTTCTTCACTGAGCATTTTTATCATTATAAAATCGCAAACAATTGTTATCACCTAGGTAGTGAGGAGAATCACTCTGAAATGTAAGCTGAGTGAAAGACGTTGCTTGGTGCGACCATCTGTTATAAAGGCGTGTAGCTGCAGCTAGGTTTGTTCTGTTTCTGTTCTTGTTTTGGTTTTTGTTTTTTTTTTACATTTGTCTCTTGTAGAATTATTGAATCCTCAACAAACAGAAACTTCGGCCGGTGCTAGTCGATCCCCAGAGAAATGTGCCCAACAAAGACAAAAGCGATTTAATTCTGCCTCTCAGAGATCATCATCTTTACCACCTTCAAACCGTAAATCAAACACTCCAAGTAAGAGTTAACTGTATCTATGTCTTGGGCTCTAAAGTGTGATCTCCAGTCTACGCGCGCTTCGCTGCGTGACTGTTTCCTGTTCTTGGACGCTCTTCTCAGCCGTAGTAGAGGCTCTGAGCCCAAGGCCCCTAAACACAACCTTGTTCAATAAGCAGTGTCTGATCGCACAGATACTGTGACTGGAACTGAAGAAATTCGCGGTTTTGTAAAGTGAGGTTTTTGTGCGTGTTCAGTAAAATTTTTGCAACTAATACCACCTCAGAGTTTTTGAGTTAGTAGACAGAGATCCAGCTAAACGTTCATTCACACAAGTTAATTTAAGCTAGTCTGGAAAGAGAAGCTACGTCTTTTTATATACTTGACGGGCACTCAGCATTGGCCATCTTTTTTCTTTTAGCCAATGTACAAGTATGATTTTAAAGTGTAAGCGTTGAATTTCTGTATCCTCAGTTTCTGTTTTTCATAGCAGCTGAGGAGATTCTTAGGTTACCGTGTTAAAGGAATGCTCACGATCGTACTGGTGTCTCCATCTTATTTCCAGTCAACTTCTAAAATCCTGAAAAACCAGTTTTGAGTCTGAGTGCTGAAAGTACAGTCCAACATAGTAAAACGTTAACAGTGGTTACTTCTGGATGTTAGGATTACCAATTATTTTAATTTTATTTTTTATACTCCTGTCTTTCAAAAAGTCTTACAATGAAATCGTATTCCTTTTGAAATTAGAAAAAAGTACTCTACTGAAAAACAAACTATGTTCAGCCAATATAACATATATATTACATAGAAGGAGAAGAATATTTCCTCTTTGTTTTCTTCTCTAGCAAAAAGAGAGATTATGTTAACACCAGTGACCGTGGCTTATAGTCCAAAGCGATCCCCTAAAGAAAATTTGTCCCCAGGATTTAGCCATCTGCTTAGCAAAAATGAAAGCAGTCCAGTTCGGTAAGTTCTTTAAAATTATAGAATTAAAAAAACATGTATTATTGCATTATTTTTTAAATGTTAACTTACGTATGCCTTTAGTGAACACTAATTTTTTGGTTGTCATTGGGAACCCTGTGGATTTAAATTGTCTAAATGAATGTCATGCTAAAAATAAAAAGTACTACCGTGCATGAAAATAATTTAACTATGTAAATTCGCTGCTACTAAATGTCTAATGCCACCTCAAAACCCTTTCAGCTTTTGGATGGAGAATGATGGTTCTTTGTGTTCCTGAAGAGGTCTGTGGGAAAGGGAAACTCTTGAGCCTTTTATACAAGAAAGGGGGCTGTACTGGTACGGCACTAAATGTAAGCTTATCTGTGCTCCTGAGAAAATTGCCCTCCCTTGAAAGTGTGGTCAGCAGTGTGTGCTGAAATGGAAAGAACATTGACCCTTAAGGCATAAGACCTGGCTCTAGGTCCAGCCCCATCACTATCTTGAAGAGATTCCGTAAGCACTTTGAACCTCAGTTTCCTCTTCTGTAAAACAAGGTTAATAATACCTACCCTGCTTATTTCACAAGGTTGTTATAAAGATCAACTGAGATAATGCATGGGTAAGTGCTGTAAATCTCTAAAGTATTATGTAAGCATAATTTTGTGTTATAAAATATAAATTAAATTTCAGTTTTAGAAATATATGACCAGCTTTCTTTTTCAAGAAAATATGTAAATAGGTGAGTTAATTGGATGCCAGCTCATGTTTCTAGTGGAGATAGGAAAAATCAGCTAACATTTTTTTTTCTCACAAGTAACTTGCTTCATTCAATAGATTTGATATACTTTTGGATGATTTAGATGCCGTTCCTGTGTCTACGTTACAACGTACCAATCCAAGAAAACAACTCCAGTTTCTTCCTGTAGATGACTCGGAAGGTATCTTTTCCTGCAAAATTACGAGTTATGGGTTTAGTCATTCATTTTGTGAGATTCTAGTATTTTTCCAAGGTTCTACACATTATAATATCCTGTGTTTAAATATGTTTCCCTCAAAGAACCTCTACAGATAAGCATTCACGATGCTTTGTATTGTCATGTCAGCGTTGTTATCCTCGTTGAAAAGTTGGGAAACTGAGGTACAGGGAATGTTAATGTTAATGTTTCATTACCAGGGCCTTACTGTTCAGTTATTACGCTCGTATTTGCTCTATAAATAATGTAAAGTTACTCTGTGACTTATGTGCAACTCAGGCTTTAGGTAATTTTTCCTCCTTTTAATTTTTAAGTTCAGAATAAAGTTATTAAGATAATGTATGTTGGCCCTCAAAATGTTAACTCTTTAGTGTTGGTGTATATGCACTAAATGTTGGAAACTTGTGTGTGTATTAAGTTTACCTCTCCCTTAGTGAAGATAGATAGACTGAGGGCAAAGCTTTTAGAATTCTTTGGCAAAAAAGCACTAAGTAAATATGATTGATGATCATATCTCTCTTTATGACTTTTTTTGGCCGTAAAGCAGCCATTTCCAGCAAGTGAAATAGGGTAATGTGTTTAATGTGTATGTGATCTCTGGGAAAAATTGATAAATAGAAGAAATTTTATCCCTCTCTGACAGAAGAAAACTATTCAGAAAAAGCCTCTGACAGCCATGTTAATCGTAACTCTTGCCCCGAACCACTGCCGAATGGGGTGAAGAAAGTACCTGCGCGATCAGCCTGGGAGAAGAATATATCGATTAGCTATGAACAGTGTACACCTGGTTCAGGGACACCACATGGCAATGATTTTGAATATACAGCAAAAATTAGGACCTTGGCTGAAACAGAGCGATTTTTTGATGAGCTTACAAAAGAAAAAGACCAGGTAACAAACAAACATCTTAAAAAATCTTTTTCTGAACTTAATGCTTACATCTGAGGAATAGTCAGAAGGGAATTACTGAGCCAAACCGCCACAGAAATTTCTGTGAGACACCATAGCAAAGCTGCAGTGGCGTTTGGGCTGCCAGACATCCTTGTGCCATGCTGTCGTTACTCATTGATGACAGAGGGAACTTAGAGAAAGACTGAATGGACAATGAACTGCTAGGCTGAAATCTTTTCTTTCCATTCTATGTTACAAGCCTCCCTGGCAGTAATTGGAATTCTTACACTCTTATTTAAACATTCTTTTGCATTAACAGATTGAGGCAGCGCTAAGCCGAATGCCTTCTACTGGTGGGCGAATCACTTTGCAGACAAGATTAAACCAGGTAAAAGGCCTTCGCTTGACTCTGCTTTAGAGGCTTGATGCTAGTCTTGTGCTCCGTTTATCCAAGATGACTTTAAAATTGGAGCTTTTAGGCATATTGAAGCAAGCAGTCAAGACTCTTAGCCTTTACAGAAGGTGTTTGGTGATTATAGCATATTTTCTAACTGCATGCTAGCTCCCAGGGATGAAAACTGGTTTTACTTTCAGATGTCAGGAAATTGTGTTTGAAATTAACTTGCAAGCAAATGGTGGTAAGCCTTTTAGCAGACTTTATACTGTTAATGCTCTCACATTAAATCTCCTTTTTTGTATTTGTTTTTTTTCCTCTCCAAATCTAATTCATTTCTGAACCCCTTTCCATTTAATAAGCACGTAAAATTGTTGCACTTTGCAACTGGACTTGCTGTAGAGGTAAAATACGGAGATGTGGTTCTGTTATTGAGCAGGAGGTGGCAAGGGTGACGTGGCCTGTGTGCATTTCTTTATTTTTCAATAATTTATTTTATTTTGATTGTTGTTGAGAATATACACACCGAACATAACACCAATTCACCAGTTTCTACATGTACAGTTCAGCGACATTGATTACATTCTTTGAATTGTGCAACCATTCTCACCCGCCTTTTCTGAGTTGTTCCTCCCCCATTAACATAAACTCACTGCCCCCTAAGTTTCCTATCTGATCTTTCGAGTTGCTGTTGTCGGTTTGATCCCACATAGGTAAATCTTAAAAGAGCACAATGCTCAAGGCAAACATTCCTTACTAGTTAAACTAAACCATTGTTTGGTTTTAAGAAGACTTCAGGGGATTTTTTTGGTTGAGGTTTAAAGATTGTCTCAGGGCAATAGTTTCAGGGATTGTGTGCATTTCTTTTAGTTGCTTTTCAAAGAGAATTAAAATGTATGAAATGTGGGACATTTTAAATCTCTTCTTGTAGTACTTTAAACATAACAACAAGTATATGTCTCTAGTATAATATATAATTGCTTGTTTTGGCTTTATCATGCCTTGACATAGGAAAAGCTCATTTCCAGCTGCTCCTTGGAAACCCTATGGGGCAGTTCTACTCTGTCCTACAGGGTCGCTATGTGTCAGAACTGACTGGACAGCAGCGAGTTTTTATATCTTTTTATTGTTTTTGTTCTGAAAGTTTACATTCAGTGATTCATATGACTGAGTTACTACCTGAAACTCTTCTTAAAATACTTTACTGGGAAGGCATAAGAAAAATTCCTGATACCCTGATTCTAGATCTATCTGAAACGTTTAGTTTAATATATTTTTTATATAATGATTATTAAAAGTTGATTCTCCCAAAATACGACTTCAATGGCACTAGTCTCTGTTCATAGATGTCAAAGCTGTTTCCATCCACTAAGAAGACAGGTGGCAGCAAAAGGGACTAAGGATGTTCACATGTGATTTATAAGTGAAAAAATAACAGTGGGCAAAAAAAAAGATGAAAAATGTTCAGCCTCACTCGTTAACTTAAAAATTCACATTTAAGCAAAGGTATCACCTGTTTTTTAAACCATTGACAGGTATGTTTAAAAAGCAGTACCCAAGATGAGGAAAAGCTTATTCTCACACACTGCAGGGGAAGTAGAATTGTCACAAACGTTCTGAGTGCAGTGTGACACCTATCCAAAGCTTTAGAATTCTGCATTTCTTTGGACCCAGCAGTTTAACTTCTGGGACTGATTCTCTAGGCAGTACTTAAGATATGTGCAAAGAGATAATGTTGAAGAAGATTTATTGCAGCATTATGTATGATACCCAAGATGAGAAGTAACTTAAATTTCTACTAAAACATTCTTCGTTAAATGTGGCATAACAATTGAATATTGCACATTTATTTAAAATGATGTGTTGTAGAAGGACATTTTATAACATGAAAAGTTCATTTGGAAGACATTTTCAGGCAGAGAGTTTGATTCTGCTTTTTATTTTTCTTTTTAAATGTGTATATATATGCAGAAAGAATAGGAAAGAGGGACCTTGGTTCGTTCTTGATGGTGGGATTGCATTATTAAAATTTTGCTCATCTATCTTCTGAATATTCTATAATGAACATGTAATCTTTTTGTAATTAAAGAAAAAATTTTAAATTTTTTCAGGACAATATTGGAGTTAATACTGAATAAAGTATCTAAAATGATAAATATGTTTCAAGTACTGTTTATTTAATAGTAGTAGTCCTAATTATCTAAAAATGTAAGTTGTTATACTGATTCATTGTGAAATCCATTGTCCTTTGGAAGCCTCCTCCAGCATTTTTCCTCCTTTTCAACTTAGAAAGTTTTGTCAGAAGAAGGTTATTTGGTTTTCAAGATACGAGTAAGTGGTATACAGCACCAAGTGGCTCTGCCCATCTCTTTGGAAGATTCCTCTCATGCTCTTCTAAGTTCAGCAAAGCCAAAGAATGACCCCGATCCGGTGCCTCTGCTACAGTTTCTGTATACTTGGAGTGCTGACCATACTGAGAATATTATAAAGTGGAGCAGTTATTTTGAATGGTTGCAAAATTGATTCACGTGCAGTTTAAAAGGAATAAAATAAATGACAAAGATTTGTGTAGAAGGCAGAATAAGAATCTGTAATGTTAACGTTTATATTTGCTCTTTTGCTAAAAGAAAGGTCAATTTGGTGGTAATTACAGAACCAGTGAACTTGATCTGGAATTCTAATTAACCTTTTTTTTTCCATTATTTTCACTTAGGAAGCCTTGGAAGATCGTTTGGAAAGGATTAACCGAGAACTGGGTTCAGTTCGCATGACACTAAAGAAATTTCATGTTTTGCGCACCTCTGCAAATCTTTGAGATTTGTAGCCATTAAATTTTGAGATGTTTTTGTTTGCACTAATGTATAATTATGCACTCAGAAAAGGCAAACTATTTTGTACTGTTTATAAGCCTTCAAACAGTAGTTTTACAATCATGCTATTCTTTACACTTGCTATTTTATACTTCAGATGGCCACATATTTTCAAGATATTTTTGTTATGCTCAGGAACCTCTTGTATATTTTACTATTTAAAAAGTGTTATTTTTAAATAGTACATGTCTCCAGTTTATATCAAGAATAAGGAAATGTAAATGGAGAAACAACTTGTTTCTAAACAAATAGTGTTATCCTTTTACAAGTAACTTTGCACACCGATTTTATAAACTTATTCTACATTGTAAATATGATTTAGGTTTTTTAAATAAGTGCTTAAGAACAAAGAGCTTCCGTAATGATAGACTAATACTTGCTAAATGCAAAAAAAAAAAAAAAATTACAGTATATTCTGAATTTCAGTTGTGTTGAGGTTTTTAAATGATGATATACACATCCTGTTTGAAACATACGTCTTGGAGTGAATTTTAGAATAATAATGGGATATTAGAAAACTACATAAATATGAATCAGTGTTTCCCTAAACTTTATAATTTGTAAGGAAAGAAAAATGAGAGGGATACAGGTCTCTGACTTTGTCATATACATAGTACTTTTAAGAAAAAGTTAAACATTTGGATAGCTGTGTCTCCCTGCCCATCGTTCTGAACGTAGATTCTGTCCCACTCTTGACACTGATCCCATAAAGATTTGGTGAAATACAGACCACCAGCCAGGGTGGCTGTTTAGAGCAACCTTGGTTTCCTTAACGTACACGGCTTCAGCTGTCCGTCAGAGTCTTCATCTAGACAGTTGTAACCCCTTTCCATGCCCTCAACCGCTGCGGAAAAGAAATTAAAAATAAATACTCCCATAGTAGGCACCATGAGAGCACTAGGTTTGGGATCAGAGCAAAATACTCTACTGCTAATGGTCATGGAATGTGTCTGAACCAAGCCTGGTGCCTTTGCTGGGGCTGGTGGGCCCCCGCCCACCGATTTGGTGACACCCCTGGCTCTGGGAAGTAGCCCATGGGCAGGAGGCCTGGCAGGTGTGTTTTGACTGTCTGTCCAATCCGAGCTGCTTAACCTGCCCACTTTTCAGTGGCCAGTCGGAACCCAGTGCCCACATACTCAAGCTCTGAACATGGTGATAAACAGAAAATTGATGCCCACGTACAGTGCTCAGGTTTTCAATTTTGGCTTGCTTTTGCGCTTTTCTCCTTCCTGTGCAGCTCTTAATAACATGTACTTATAATGAACCAAGCCCAACCCAGTTATTCTAGCAGGGCATATTTTTATATGCCTTTGAGCAGGGATCTCAAATTGTTACCTTCACCAAAGCGTCACCTGGTGGATCTCCAGGCCAGGTGCCCATATCCTCCGTATAGTTTAGTGGCCAAACTCAGCACGCGGGCCTGCCTGAGCACTGCCCTGCCACTCTCGCTCCTATCCAGGAATTGAACTTTTGCTCCCAACTCCTGCAACCAGTTGAAGACAGGCCGAATCAAAAGTAATTACTCATCGACACAGTCAAGTGCCTTTATTCTTGATATTTTTATTTTTTCTAGTCTCTTTTTTTTTTAATCTCCTAGTTATAGAAAAGAAAAAGTTCATGTTAATTAAGCTCCAGCATGCTTGGGTCAGGCAGAGTAAAGGGATTTATCTTCCTGATGACATTCCTTTCTTTAATGTTTTCCTATATGTGACATTAAAAATTGTCCTGAAAATTAGGATATTTCATTGTTCCCAGCTTTTATTATAAAGTCTATTACATTCTTAATAAGGAAATTGCCATTTCAGAAGAGATTATAGTTTTATCTTGTTAAGTAGTTATCTTCTTAGGAGCCTATATTGGCTTATTCAAAGAAAGGTATTATGCCCCATCAAAATATCTGTTGCGCCTCTCTCTTGGAGAGCATACGCTTTAATTTTTGAAGTGTGTAATAGATTGGAAGTATCAGTCACTTATAAAAATAAATTGTATTCTTATTTTCTTCATAGCCGTGAAGGGGAAACCGAGGAAAATTCTCTCAGCTCTTTCCCTTTGGTAATGCTTAACTTGTGAACACCATACTTAAAAACAACTCAACCTAAAAGTAGGAAAGGTGGCATCTTAAACAGCAGCTCTTACCCCAGGGAGGTAAGCTGTATTGTGGACCCACAGGGGGCTGTGCTGCAGTTAGTGAAAAGCCCAGTGAATTTCCGCTCTGGGAAGTGCCTTTTCCAGTGTAAAGAGAAAGAACTCTCTCCTTCCACCTGGATGTACCCCCTTCCTCTCCCTTACAAAGCCTCTGTTTACGGGAGCCCGTACTGGGGTGGGGCACCGTGCTCCTGGAGTCCCAAGTCAAAAGTTAACGATAAACTCTCCAGTTGAAGCCACAATAGATGAAGCTGAGGTGGCAGTATGAGAACTGGAGAAGTGCACAGCAGCTGGGCGTGGACGGGAGCTCAGGGAGGCGGAGGAGGTGCCTGTGTCACACCTGGCTCTGGCCACCTCCGGCCTCCCTCTCCTATGGGACCTGGCTCTTATTAACAAGTGTTCAATAAATGGTACCTTTCAGATTCATTCCGAGGTACATAGACTTTTGAGGTAACAATACTGAATTTTTTTAAACAGAAAAGTAGATTGTGTTCTAAGCAATCTGACCTAAGAAATACCTTGTGTCTTGATACTTCTGTTAGATGGTCCAATAGATGTTCTCCTCATATCTTTGCAAAAAACACATGCTTTCTTGGAGTTTAAAAGAGTTCCACCCTGGTGTGGGCTTTTTTTTGTTTATTTTGATAACTTGTTGAGTGTAAGTTCAAAAAGCACTTTGATCTTAAAATTGGTAGGTTGGAGGCTAGTTGATAGAAATGTAAGCTATATTCCTAAAAATTAATTGCCAATGTGATCAAAACAATCGCTCCTTCATATGTTCCATAATTACACACCTAAAGGTGACGGCACATGAAACAGGACTCCTCAGGGGAGGTGCTGCCCCTGGGCATTACAAGAGGTATGTGAAAATTATGACATTGTTTTTAGAATTTGATAACCAGCCAAAAAAGTGTTCCCCTTTTTAGCCCAGAAAAGTCAGGTGCTTTGTTGAATGCTGTTTGAATTCTGAATCCTGCACCTGTATACATGTAGTAAAGGTTGACCTTGTCATTTTCATCTTGAGAGATCTTAAAAGCAGTTTTCAGTAAATTTTACTGTGCCACTTGTGCTGAAAGTCTTTAAGAAGCTTTAAGAAATAAATGCATACCTAGAGCCCTTGAGTAACCCCAGAGGTAAATCACGTTTACTGGTCGTGAGTGAGTGTCTATGAGATTTTCAGGTCTGATTAAACTGATTATATTGCACAAATTTTGCTAGAAATAATTTCCTGCCCTGCTACTGTTCTGTGGCAGTTTGATAATATATTAAAAAGCATACCAGTATTCTTAGGACCTGTGTTACAAAGCTTTTTCCCTTCCGATTTGTGTTTTATTTCAGTAGACTTTCGATTACGAGGATTCAAGCCATAAATTTGCATTTGCTGAGCTATATACTGTGCCATCACTATTACTACAGATCTTCAAAGATAATGGTTTTATTCATATTTTGCAATTTCACTGCAACAGTGACCAATAATGTGAAAAACGTGCTTCAGGTAGTGCTGCTGATGGTTAGACAAAGACAAGTACTGCGGTTTTTCAGTCTAGTCAAATATTGGAGTGATAGAATTGTAAGCTCCGTGAGAGCAGGGACCACGTCTTTTTCATTCTTGCACGTAGGCATTCAATAAATATTTGTGAACATGAACTGTCTTGTGATGTTACTGTATTTATTTTAACTGACTCACTGTGAGATCTGATTTTTTAATGGCATCTTTAAGTCCTAGGCATATGTAAGTTCTCTGTTGTTACTTGGTTTGAGTGAAATCATTGCAGGGTTACAGTAGTTTCCGACTGGCTTATAGACCAAAGAACCTCCTTCTAGAGCCCTGTGTGTGCTTCAGACATCTTGATTAATAGATCTTCAGGTACCGCTTGGCAGAGGGAAGGAATTGAGGGTTTAGTGGTTGATGAGACACCTTCATTTGCCTCCGTGTGATCATCATACGACAGATATTTTTGAGGCAAGTCGTATAATGGTGGCTTTCATAGCCCATGCAGTTTCCAGTTCTGACAGAAATGCTGACGTGCACAGTCTTTTGTGGTTTTTCCATCCATGACTTTATCCGAACTCACCTTGACTGCTTTAATTTTAGTTTGCACTTGCCCCTCCTTCCAGGGTAAAAGCACTTCATGTGTTCTCTCAACCATATAAGATAATGCTTCTGACAGGTAAACTACCTCTGCGTTTTAGGCGCGTCCCGTTTAGTTCCATTAGTTCAGATTTTGGCAAACAAGCCCATCCACGTCCAATAAATAGACACCTCACTGTTTTCTTCGAGTACCCTTTTGGCCTTTTTATTGCCCACTTGGAGAGTCATATACAATGATGGAACATTAAGACGAAGAAAGCTATTTCAGATCCTCTTCCAGTTCCTTTTTGGGGTCTGAGACTAGTGCTTCCTGCGGATTCTGTGGATATTATTACTCCCACTACTGATGACCACCAAGTATTTTCACTTTTTTGGCTGACAGCATAATTGGTTGGTGTCTTGAGGGAAGAATTAATCGATGCCTATATCTACAAATCTCGCTGGCCCATATCTAAGTATCTCATCTAGGTATCGGCATGTAGGTTGGAGCTTCAATTAATTGCCTTTGATTTGCCCATACCATTTCCAATGCCTTGTGACATCTTGCAGTATGTTCTCCTTGATTTGTCATTTTACTCCTAACCAACTTCATTCTTAAAAAGCTATCCTAAACAGTCATAATTTCGGCCAATCTCCTTGTACCCTCTCCCCAGGGGCATTTGGTTCCTTTAGTGCTATTCACAAGTCTGCTGACAGAGCCTGTGGTGTTGGCGCCAAGAGATCCTGGGACAGGTCTGCACTGGGGGTGGGGGGCTGTGGGGGGAGGGAACGGACCTCACTGTCCTGGAATCGAGCCCCAGCCCTTGAGGACTTAGGTTTATGGGAGAGCAAGGCTTGCAGGGCGGGGAGCGAGTCGGGGCGCGCGTGGGACCCGAAGTTGGAGCGGCAGCTTCCGGCCTGAGGCGGCCGGGCCTCGCGCGCGCCGCTCCCCG